ACCCCATCCCTAAAGCCCATTACCTAATCCTAGAGGGATTAAACCCCATGACATATAAATAGGGAACTTAGAAGGCATTTAGAATTCCCACCACAATAATCTCCCACCACCCAAGGAGCTCCAAGAATCCCCCTAGGAGGAATCAAGAAATCAAGAAAGCTTAAAGAAAGATCCTTCATAGCCAAGGAATTAATTAAGGCTAAGAGGTAACCCATGTCTCAACAAAACCTATTTTTATAGTTATGATTTCCCCTTAGGGTTTTCCCCCATGAGCTTGTGAATGGCGAGATTTTGGAGTATCATTATTGATGTTGATTTGATGATTCTACGGTGAATCTTGATAATCTTGATATTGGGAGTTTCTTGATAATTATGGTGTTCTTGGTGATTAATTGGCATTCTTGATGATTATGTGTTGTTCTTGATGATTATGATGTCCTTGATGATTAATTGGTATCCTTGATGATTATGTGTTGTTCTTACCGAATCTTGCAATTAGAAGACGAATCGTATTCTTGTTAACGTAAAAGCGATTAGAACCCTAGATTATATCGTATGATGTTATTCTTGGATTATCGGGTGGGAAATTGCATGTTTGGGAGTTGACTATATTTAGAAAAGTATGATTGGATATGTGCCGTTCGTTTCTCGTATTTGATTCGTTAAATTGTCTACGTGTGGTCGTTGATTGCGTTGTAAAGTGTCTAAGCATGGTTTCGGGTTCCACATCGGTTCCCGGGACGAAATAGTTGTGAAAAGAGTCAGTGGGGGGTAGGGGACCCGCCACCTACCCACGGCCAAGATGACTGTGCGGGCAGCGGGCAGCCGGTGGGCGGGCAGCTGCCCACCGGCAACCCGCTGCCCGGAATTACTGTTCCGGCGGGCAGCCGGCGGGTGACCCCCACCCACCGGCTACCCGCTGGAATATTGTCCCCCTCGGGACCCCGGCTACCCCGTTTGATGTATCCCCGACCCCCGTGGTGTCCCAACGGACCCCGTTTGTCGTGCCTATGTCTAGGTTGTTACTTCGGGTACCGTTTGTAGGTTTACAAGTCAATTGTATTGCATGCTAGTTGGATTGGTATCCCGTTGACCTAGGTGGAGGAAGTATGAACCCCGTAAGGCTACTCCTAGTTGGTGTTGGATCACGCATAGGTTTATTTTATACGCCGTATTCCCCTCCCAACGTGTAATGTGGGTTGCATGTGCTTGCTATGTGTTATGTGTGTGTGTTGCCAATTCGGTAAAGGATCGGATTGGTTATCCCGAACAAAGGGTTCGGAAGCTGGCTGTAGTCAGATGGGTTTCCTGGCTGCAGTCAGATGACGTTATCCTGGGCAGCGGCCCAGAAGCTGGTTGTAGTCAGATGGGAATTCCTGACTGCAATCAGATGGCACCTCCTGAACAAAGGGTTCAGAGGCCGGCTGTAGTCAGATGGGTTTCCTGGCTACAGTCAGAGTGCACGTTCTTATGGGCTTTGGTTCATTGGGAGCCAAAGCAATGATTCCTCCGTGTGGATACGGGACAGGGTGCTGCGGGGCCGTGTCAGAGCTATATGCGCTGACCCTCATGTATGGGCATGCGATTGGTCCTGTGGCGCCAACAAAGTGTGTTACGTGTTGAGAGGTGGGAGAGTTGTGGTTATGACTATCTTGATAGATGTGACCGGGAGATTTACGTTAAGACTGTTTATGTTGAGTTATGATCATCGGTTATGCTTGCCTTAATTACCTTATCTATTGTGAACTGCTTATGACTGTTATAACAATGCTTGCGTCTGGCTTTAACTGTCGAGTCGCCCCCGGTTTTAAAGCTAGAGTTCGTAGGATATATCTTCATGCTCAAATGGTTTTCTTTATATATCTATATATATTGCTATATGTATTGTATTTCAACGCGTTGGAGTGGGTTACCAGCATCTCTCACTGAACAGATATATTTGGCTTTCAGGCACAGACGACTAGAGCACCGGAGTGCGCTAGGGCTGGGGCATAGTAGTAGTATAGACTCCCTCTTGGCCTGCGTGCCATGTTATGCATTTACTTTTCAGAGAACAGTAGTTAGACTGCCTGTGCACTTGGGTTCTCCAGCCCAGGTGTGGCATAGCACCCCACACTCTTATGTTACACTTTGGGATTTAATGAGATGTTATCTTCATTTTATGAGTTTTAAATGTTTTTAAAACCTGGGGTGTTACACTCTCACCACCCAAAGAGTTCCAAGAATTCCCCTAGGAGAAATCAAGAAATCAAGAAAGCTTAAAGAAAGATCCTTCATAGCCAAGGAATTAATTAAGGCTAAGAGGTAACCCATGTCTCAACAAAACCTATTTTTATAGTTATGATTCCCCCCTTAGGGTTTCCCCCATATTATTGTGTATTAATGATTGGTGATGATTATTATTGGTGATTGATATAATGATTCCATGAGGAATCTTGATAATCTTGATATTGGGATTTCTTGATAATTATGGAGTTCTTGATGATTATATGGAGTTCTTGATGATTATGTGTTGTTCTTGATAATTGTGTGATGCTCTTGATGCTTATGTGTTATTCTTACCGAATCTTGCAATTAGGAGACGAATCGTATTCTTGTTGATATAAAAGTGATTAGAACCCTAGGTTGTATCGTATGATATTATTCTTGGATTATCGGGTGGGGAAATCGCATGTTTGGGTGTTGATCATGTTTAGAAAAGCATGATAGGTTATGTGTCATTCGTTTCTTGTGTTTGATCCGTTCATTATCTACGTGTTGTCGTTAATTGTGTTGTAAAGTGTCTAAGCATGGTTTCGGGTTCCACAACGGTTCCCGGGGCGTAAATTGTGTGAAAAGAGTCAGTGGGGGGTAGGTGGGGGTAGGGGACCCGCCACCTACCCACGGCCAAGAGGACGCCTCCGGCAGCGGGCAGCTGCCCGCCTGCGACCCGCTGCCCGGAACAGTGTTACATGCGGGCAGCCGGCGGGTGGCCCCCCACCCACCGGCTACCCGCTGGAAATTTATCCCACCTGGGATCTCGGCTTCCCCGTTTGATGTCCCCCGACCCCCGTGGTGTCCCAACGGACTCCGTTTATCGTGCCTATGTCTAGTTTGATATTTCGGGTACCGTTCGTAGGTTTATGAGTCTATTATATTGCATGCTAGTTGAATTGGTATCCCGTTGACCTAGGTGGAAGAAGTATGAACCCCTTAGGACTATTCTTAGTATGTGATGGATCACGCATAGGTTTTGTTATACGTTTTCTCTCCCTTCCCAATGTGTAATGTGGGTTGCATGTGCTTGCTATGTGTTATGTGTGTGTGTTACCCCAATTCGGTTGCGATCGGATTGGTTATCCTGAGCTGCGGTTCAGAAGCTGGCTGCGGTCAGATTGATACTCTTGGGCTGCGGTCCACCGTTTGGTTGCGATCAAACGTTTCTATATGAGCTGCGGTTCATCCTTTTCCTGGCTGCGGTCAGATGACATTCTCTTGGGCTGCGGTCCACTGTTTGGTTGCGATCAAACACTATGATGAGCTGCGGTTCATCGGTCGGTTGCGATCGACCCCTCCGTGTTGCGATACGGGGCAGGGTGCTGCGGGGCCGTGTCAGAGCTATATGCGCTGACCCTCATGTATGGGCATGCGATTGGTCCTGTGGCGCCAACAAAGTGTGCTATGTGTTGTGATATGGATGAGTTGCGATTATGAGTGTCTTGGGGGATGTGACTATGGGATTTATGTTGGGGATTGTTGGGTTATGATTATTGTTTATGCCTTGCCTTATCTGCCTTATCTGTTGTGAACTGCATATGCTTGTTATAACTGTTGCTTGTGTCTAGCCTTATCTGTCGAGTCATTCCCGGTTTTAAAAGCTAGAGTTCGTAGGATATATCTTCATGCTCAAAATGGCTTGTCGTATATCTATATATATCTCTATATGTATTGTATTTCAACGCGTTGGAGTGGGTTACTAGAATCTCTCGCGGAACAGATATATTTGGTTTTCAGGCACAGAAGATTAAGTCACTGGAGCGCGCTAGAACTTGGAGAGTAGAAGTAGTTAGCTTCCCCTTCGGCCTACGTGCCATGTTTATGTAATTACGCTTTGAGGTTATTAGTTAGCTAGCCTATGCACTTGGGTTCTCTAGCCCAGGTGTGACATAGCACCCCGAACGCTTGTATTATATCTTGGGATTTAATAAGATTCTACCTTTATTATAAGTTTTAAAAAGTCTTGAAAATCTGGGGTGTTACAGTCAGATTGGTTCGCACATATTTAGTACCTGAAGCTCGAAACTCTGATGCAATCAAGAGCCAAGAATGCCTCTTTTTCAAATAAGGAATTGACAGGTATGTTTTCAAAAAAAGTTTCCACATTTTCATATTTACATTTCCTTCTAGCTTGCACCCATAAACTAGAATTGATTTGTGTTTTTTTGCAGGAATCAAGATATCCAGAAATGAGGATCACCAAACTTAAGAAGAACACAAGTTGCAGTTGCTCAAGAAGCATGCCTAGAGATGTTGTGAAAGGATTCAAACTCAAGAATCCTGCCTAGACTACAAACTCAAGAAGTAAGCCTGTGATGAGGACCACCAACTAGGAATGTTTAGAGTCTATAAGTCAATAGTTGGTACTTTGATGTCAGCAAGTCATTGGAAGTACTATTAGAATATTGCTTGTGTAAGCTGTTTATTTATTGAATTATGAAAATTGTGGTATAAGGTGAAAATGAGAAATGCTAAGAACACTTATCTATTTTAAGTGAGTCAAACTGGAAATTTGGAATCTCTGGCAAGGTATATATCAACTGAGTAATCCTAAACCTATAAGAGTGCATTCAATAAATAATTATAATAAGAAATAGATATGTAAAGAATAACTCAAATAGATACTTGAAAATTGAAATAGATATCTAATTCTACACTTTATACTTACAAGAAACAGTAATTACTTAAGAAGAGAAAGTAGTTACATACTGTGGCAAAAGTTTGTAGGGAGCAAAATTATAAAATGTCATCAAGTCAATAATAGTATATTATACTGTGAAAGAAAAGAAAGTCAACAACCAATATAGTGGTATATTCAATTACATTTTTTAGAGATGAGAAACCATTTGTATAGTAGCTACCCAGTTTATAATAGTGTGTACTGTGAATTTAAAAGTAGAAACTTGGAAAAACAAATTGTGCCGAGTTTACATCAACTTAAATTTCAAAATACATGTGTGATAAATAAAAAGATCAATACATCCTACTATTACTCAGTGTTCTGTAGGCATACTGTGTTCTTCAGCATAGATAACTTGGGAAATATTCTGGATATAAAATCAGAATTTGGCAGTATCTTTAAAAGAAACTATAAAGGGATATTACTCTGTTCTGCATGACACATAGCTAATACTTAAATACTGAGTAGAATAATAGCATGAACTATGTTATCTATGGTAGTGTATCATAAATGGTACTTAAATATATATTAAATTTGAGTAATATTTTTATAAGAAAATGATTACATGTGACTTTACAATTGCAGAATTGACTTCAAGGGATCTTGAGGTGTTACTACCACAGCACTATGTTGATTTTTTTTTTTTCAACTTTAGCTGCAAAAGAAAATTCAGCAATAAATTATAAGTTCAGCAGTAGGATTTTTATAAACAAGTATAATTTTGCTTTAAAAAAAAAATACAAACAACAAAATGAAAGAATTTTGCTTCAAATCTGACTTTACAACTATGAATCCACCAAATAGATTACATGATAATGCAGATACTAACATAAAAATACAAAATTTGTTGTCAAAATCCAGATGCATGTGATTTCGAATGAAGGATTTCATCAGATCTACACTTTAATGGGACTTAGTAGTTAAACAAACCCTTAACAATTAGGGTTCACTGTATCTACTCAATTTCTTAAGAAGTGTATGATAGAATTGGAATTAACTGAGAGATATACTAGATAACTTACCGTAATAGAGAACTGATCTAAGAAATTGAAGTAGTTATTGCTAGAATGTACAGATCTAAAATGGGGATTGTAGAAATCATAAATTAGTAGGCCATACTAACATAATAGTGCTAAGATATGAGGTACAGCCATAGGATCATCTCACGAATTGTTAGGATCATCGCTGAGAGTGTCTGGGCTTTGTGTTGAACCCACTCTAGAGTGAAGATTGAAGAATAGAGATAGTGAACATTCTGGAAATGAAGTGCGCTGCTGAAACAATAGGCAACATACGTATTAGGGGAAAGTGAGGGTATTTTAGTAATCTTGCCCAACCAAGCAATAATAATTCTATATTATTTGTGTGTTAAGGCTAATATTATGTTAGTAAGATTAATATTATGTTAGTAAATTTATTTAATTTGTGTATTTATATTAATAGGTTTGAAATGGCTTGGATTCATGATGATGGTTACAGGGAGGTAGTTGAATCTGCCTGGCAGGATGGGAAGAACAGGGGTTTATTGAATTGTCAATAATATTGTGGTGGTAGGTTTATGCGGTGGAGTGGAGAACAATGGAGTAAATTTGGGGACCGCATAAAGGAGTTGAGGCGCGAGCAGGATGCGTTGAGACACTGAAGGGACTCAGCTTCCCTGGCTGAGTTTCGACGGCTTGAAGCCATGCTGACTCAGGTAGAGGTCCACGAAGATGTGTTTTGGAGGCAGCGGGCCAAACAACATTGGCTCCGTGGTGCGGATGCGAACACGAAATTTTACCACATGTATGCCTCTGCTCGTAAGCGTAAAAATTATCTGTCTAGATTCAAGAATGATGCTGGTGGTTGGGTGGAGGAGGATGATATTGATATGGATAAATAACACGTATATAAAAGGTATATTAATATGAGAACGTATACAACGGGTCAGAGGAGGTTGGGTCGTGAAAGATGACCGGGAACCTCTCTAGCCTAGCTTATACAAAAATCCAAAAGTCCCTCTCACTAGCAATTAATGCAGTATTTATAAGGGTCATAGGGAACCGCGTCCGGTCTTCCGGCATGTCGGACGCGTGGCGCACATGCACCGGGCGGAGAGTCGGCAGACATGCAGCCGTACACGTGTCGCGAGGCTTCTGCTACTGATAGAGCTTCCCTCCTACCGGTCGTACGCCCCGGTCTCCGGTCTCCCGCTCCAGGACCCTCGGCACGTCACCTTTGACAAGAGCACGACCGGGTTGACAGGGCGAGCCTTCTGGTCGCACCTCGACCGGGTTCCCGGGTCGGGTAGGCAGGTCGGTAGGGCGCTCCGTATGTTCGGTATATATTCCCCATCATATAGCCCCCCAACCCGGGGCCAGACGGCACCCGCCGGAAGGGCTCGGGCTTGAGTTCCTTCAAGGCGCACCGGGTGATCGGGTAGCACAGAGCCGGCTGCAGTGAGGCGCGCATGTAGGCTGTAGCCTACCACGTGTCGGCTATTTACTGGTCTGGGGATGCGGGCCTGGCGTGCTGCGGAAGCTTCCTCCTTCCCGCCTTTTCTTGCTTCTATAAATAGGAGCTCGAGGCCCCATTGAAAACTTTTCGCACCTTCAGCTGACTTCAGAGCTAGCCGGCTGTGCCTGCTTTTTTACTTGGAATTACGAGCGGTTGCCTTCACCACGGTCCTCCGAACGGTAAGCCTCATCTTCACTTTATTTTATTTGTAGTTTCATAGCCCTCTAGACGTAGGTTAAGACCCGAACCGGGAGCCCATACTAAGACAAAACCCTCCCCCCCATTTTCTCTTTAAGGGAGAAGATGTCTAGCTCGGATAGCCAGAACGTGTCCGGTCGGGACTACGCGGCCGAAGACGAATCCAACACGGCAACGGGGTCTTCCAGGGCGACCACCAGCACGGGCGAGTTCATAAACCGATATACCGCGCCCGGTTCTCCGCAAGCCCCCGCCGGTCAAGCCAACTCGAATGAGTCCGAAGGGCGAAGCGGTTTCCTGGCCGAGGGCCCCGGCCGCGACGGTGAGGAGGGTGAGTCCAGCGAGGTACAGGTGTTGAGCCCCCCGTTAATCGGGTCATCGCGCCCGGGGAAGTCACCCCGGGTGATTTTTAGCAACGCCTCGGGCTCAGGGAAGTCCCCCCGGACCGTGGTCGGAGCCCTGCGTCCCGACCTGACCCCTTCATTGCGTGACCGGCTGGCATATAGCTTTAGGGATCCGACTCCAGCGGCGACTTCTGCTCCAGCCGCATCCACCTCCGGACGAAAACTGGTCTTCCTCAACAGCGAATCCGCCCGGGAGCAGATGAGCATTCTTAGCCGGGCCGAAGCCAAAGAGATTAGGTCGCTCATAGGCAGATCGGCAGTCGTTGATACTGAACGCGCGCTCGGGAGCATTGTCGAACAGACGACTGGGAATGGCTCGGGCTCCATTTCGATTCTCTGAAGGCTCCGCTGACCTTTCCATTCAGCCCGTTCTTGTTGACGTTTCTCAAGCACTACGGGGTCCTCCCCGGACAGATCACTCCCAACGCCCATCGCATCATCGCGTGCTTCCCACAGGTCTGCGCCCGGCACGGGGTCGACTACACGATGGAGCTGTTCGATTTCCTCTACTCAGTGCGGCCCTTGGCGCCCCGGTATGGGTCCGGGTTCCTTCAGGCTCAGTCACACGGGCATCGGTGCAAACTACTCCGCCTCCCGGACAACAACCGCGGGTGGAAGGAGAGATTATTCTCCGTGAAGTACGTCTGGGAGCTACCGGTTCCTCGGGAATGGCCTAGCCTTGAGCAAGTTACTCCGGACGAGACCCGCGAGCTCGCTGATGCCGCGGTGAAGATTTCGTCGGAGTTTTACGACTATCGCACTTACCGGACTCCCGAGGCGTTCGAAGCGGCCCGGCTCGAGCCCCCCGGTACGACCTCAGAGAGAAGTACGAGCCCCAGCGGATTCAGATCACCATCGCCCGGCCACCTCCCGGCTCTTCGGCCGTGCCCGGAGGTTTTGCGTTTATCCACCTGTGATCCTTTCGTCCGGTCCCGCTCGACCGCTATCCTAATTTTTTCTTCCTTTTCAGGTATGGGTTTTGACAAAGCGTTCATCGCCGCACCAGCACCCCCGTCAGGGCCCCGGCCGAAGATCGCGCTCGGGGGGAAGAAAAATGTTGCTGCCGACTCCTCTTCGGCGGACTCGACCGTTCCAACCGGTCTCCCCCTCGGCATTACTTCAACCCATCCCACTGAATCCGATCCGGACGTGCTAGTCGTCAGATCTCACACCCGGAAGGGGAAAGAGCGGGAAATAGACAATGCGGAGGACGTCCCCCTTCTGAAACGCAGCAGACGGGTCAGCCCGTCCGTGGATACCCCCGTCATCAATGTCTTACTGAGCGGGGAGCACCCAGCGGCTAAGCTTAACCGGCTGGTGGACATCATCCCGGCGGGTGACGACGGGAGAGGGAAGACGCTGAACGAGATCGGGGAGCAGGGGGCGACCGACGTCGTGCAGGTACGGGTTTTGCCTTTTATCCCCCCGAATTTTCCATCGGGAATGGTCGTTAACCTTTACTGTTCCTTTGCTGCAGATGACGCGCACCCTGGTAACCCTGTTCCGTCGGGCCAAGGCGACGGAAGATGCTGAGGCCCTTCAGAAGGCCGCCGATCGCCACGAGAAGGAAGCCAAGGAGGCACGGAAGAAGCTCCGGACAGCCAACGACCGGCTGGCCAAGGCGGAGAACCGGGCAGCGGAGGCTCAAAAACTACTGGACAGCCCGGAAGGACTCGCGGCCCGGGTATGCCGCGATCGGGCCGAAGGGGAGGCGTTCTTTCGCCATTTTCTGAAGAATCCGGTCAGCGAAGAGCTGGCCTGAACACTGGCCAAATGGGCCTTCAGCTCCGGGCAACGTCGGGCCCAAAAGGAGGACCGGGACGCCCTAGCCCAGTCGCTCGATGACGACGACCTGGCCTTGGTCCTAGGGGTCTTACCCGCTGAGGTACCCGATCCAGGTTCCGAGCCGTTTGACAGCCCCCCAGCCGCCGTTCAGCCTCCTTCCAACGAACCGCTCTCGCAGGTTCCCCCCGAGGCGTAGACTCCTAGAACGGGAGCCCGGCCCTGTATTTGTGCCGGGCCGAAAGATTTTTGTTACCCGGCGGTTCGCCTTAAGGGAGCCCGACCCCTCTGTGTCGGGCAAAAACTTTCTTAATCTACCGGTTTTTTATGCAAATGGTTTTTTGCTTCACCCGATTCCCTGCCCCTAGAGTTACCACCAACTCGTAGAGGCCGGGACGGACCCGGGCTCGGGCAAGCGTCTCAACGAGGCCTGGACGGACCCGGGCTCAAACGCGGGCGCCGACGGACCCGGGCCTCGCCTAAAAACGTCGGCGGACACTGTCGAGTGTACCGCCAACTCATCGAGGCCGGGACGGACCCGGGCTCGACCAAAAACGTCGGCGGACACCGTCGAGTGTACCGCCAACTCATCGAGGCCGGGACGGACCCGGGCTCGGCCAAAAACGTCGACGGACACCTTCGAGTGTACCGCCAACTCATCGAGGCCGGGACGGACCCGGGCTCGACCAAAAACGTCGACGGACACCGTCGAGTGTACCGCCAACCCATCGAGGTCGGGACGGACCCGGGCTCGACCAAAAACGTCGACGGACACTTTCGGGTATACCGCCAACTCATCGAGGCCGGGACGGACCCGGGCTCGACCAAAAACGTCGACGGACACTTTCAGGTGTACCGCCAACTCATCGAGGCCGGGACGGACCCGGGCTCGACCAAAAACGTCGACGGACACTTTCAGGTGTACCGCCAACTCATCGAGGCCGGGACGGACCCGGGCTCGACCAAAAACGTCGACGGACACCGTCGAGTGTACCGCCAACTCATCGAGGCCGGGACGGACCCGGGCTCGACCAAAAACGTCGACGGACACTTTCGGGTGTACCGCCAACTCATCGATGCCGGGACGGACCCGGGCTCGACCAAAAACGTCGACGGACACTTTCGAGTGTACCGCCAACTCATCGAGGCCAGGACGAACCCGGGCTCGACCAAAAACGTCGACGGACACTTTCGGGTGTACCGCCAACTCATCGAGGCCGGGACGGACCCGGGCTCGACCAAAAACGTCGACGGACACCGTCGAGTGTACTGCCAACTCATCGAGGCCGGGACGGACCCGGGCTCGACCAAAAACGTCGACGGACACTGTCGAGTGTACCGCCAACTCATCAAGGCCGGGACGGACCCGGGCTCGACCGCGTAGGGATTTATGGCCTAGTGGCCGTGCCGGGACGGACCCGGGCTTCGCCTACCCTCGTAGGGCTTTGTGGCCTAATGGCCGTTCCGGGACGGACCCGGGCTTCGCCTACCCTCGTAGGGCTTTGTGGCCTAATGGCCGTGCCGGGACGGACCCGGGCTTCACCTACCCTCGTAGGGCTTCTTGGCCTAATGGCCGTGCCGGGACGGACCCGGGCTTCGCCTACCCTCGTAGGGCTTTGTGGCCTAATGGCCGTGCCGGGACGGACCCGGGCTTCGCCTACCCTCGTAGGGCTTTGTGGCCTAATGGCCGTGCCGGGACGGACCCGGGCTTCGCCTACCCTCGTAGGGCTTTGTGGCCTAATGGCCGTGCCGGGACGGACCCGGGCTTCGCCTACCCTCGTAGGGCTTTGTGGCCTAATGGCCGTGCCGGGACGGACCCGGGCTTCACCTACCCTCATAGGGCTTTGTGGCCCAATGGCCGTGCCGGGACGGACCCGGGCTTCGCCTACCGTCGTAGGGCTTTGTGGCCTAATGGCCGTGCCGGGACGGACCCGGGCTTCACCTACCCTCGTAGGGCTTTGTGGCCTAATGGTCGTGCCGGGACGGACCTGGACTTCGCCTACCCTCGTAGGGCCTCGTGCCATTCAGGTTTTTGATCGGAAAATGGAAGAACTTCATTAACTTAGACACGACAATACAACTTAGGCACAACATATTTTAAAAAGGTCAGACCTGCCGGTACAACGGTTATCCGGCTAGGTGACGGTTACAGCGGCATGACAATACAACTTAGGCACAATACATAACTTAGGGTGCTAGGTACGACTAATGGTGGAAAAGCGTAAGGTTTTCCGAGTTCCACACCCTATCTATAGCCTTCCCGGTGGTTGTTTGTAGCTTGTAGGTTCCTCGGAAAAAGGAAGAACTTCATTAACTTAGACACGACAATACAACTTAGGCACAACATATTTTAAAAAGGTCAGACCTGCCGGTACAACGGTTATCCGGCTAGGTGACGGTTACAGCGGCATGACAATACAACTTAGGCACAATACATAACTTAGGGTGCTAGGTACGACTAATGGTGGAAAAGCGTAAGGTTTTCCGAGTTCCACACCCTATCTACAGCCTTCCCGGTGGTTGTTTGTAGCTTGTAGGTTCCCGGGCGTATGACTGCGGCTATCACATACGGACCTTCCCAACTCTGGGATAACTCCCCACCCTCTAGGGGGCGGCTGGCTTCTCTTTTCCTTAGAACGAAGTCGCCCACTTGAAAATACCTCGTTCTAACCCGAGCGTCATGGTATGCCTTTGCTTTCTTCTGGTATTCGATCACTCTTTTAGCTACCTGCTCTCGTTTCTCTTCAACAGAGTCTAGTTCAACCGCCATCATTTCGTCGTTGGCATCGGGGTCAAACTCCTTCTCTCGGGCAGTCGGTACCCACGCCTCGATCGGTAGTCTGGCCTCCGCACCGTAGACCAGTGCAAAGGGGGTCTCCTTGGTTGCTTCTCGCGGGGTTGTTCTGTATGCCCATAGGATGTACGGTAGCTCGTCCGCCCAATTTCGTCCTGCCGAGTACAACTTTTTCTTCAACCCGTCCAGGATGGTCCGGTTGGCGTTTTCGACCTGGCCGTTGCCTTGCGGGTACGCGACGGATGACTTAATCGCTTTAGTGCCGATCGTTGCCAGGAAATTTGCGAAGTAAGCCCCCTCAAACTGCTTCCCATTGTCCGTGACCAGCTGCACGGGGACTCCAAACCGGGAGACCACATTGCGCCATAGGAACCTGGCGCACTGCTGCGACGTGATGGTTGCCAACGGTTCCGCTTCGACCCACTTTGAGAAGTAGTCGATTGCCACGATAATGAACCTTTTCCGACCGGCTACTCGGGTGAACGGGCCAACTATGTCAACTCCCCATCTTGCGAACGGGATGGCCGTGCTAACAGGTTGATAAAAGGTGGCCGGTCGACCGGGCACTTTGGCGAACAGCTGGCAAGCTTTGCACTCTCGGACCACCCTCTTACAGTCGAGTTGGATCGAAGGCCAGTAGTATCCTATCAGCATTATTCTTCTCGCCAAAGCCTTACCGCCCTGGTGCGACGAGCAAATCCCAGAGTGGAGCTCGGTCATTACCAAGTCGGCCTCGAAGTCGTTAAGGCATCGCATCAAAGGGCCACCGTGTGATCGTCGGTAAAGCTTTCCCTCCATGACCTGGAAACGTGGTGCTCTCAGCTTAACTTTGTGAGCCCTTTCTTCGTCGTCGGGGACGCGGCCATCGGTCAGGTACTGCATCAAATCTTCGATCCAACTCTTTTCTGTTGGTTCCACCGGAGCAACCTCTAGCGTGTCGATGACGGGTTGGGTCAGCTCTTCTATGCGGGCTATCTTAGAAATGTGCTCGGGTGCCTCCTGCACGAGTTTGGACAAGACGTCGGCGTCCACGTTCTCTGCTCGGGGAACATGTTCGACCGCATGACCTTGGAAATCCGCGAGGAGTGCTAACACTCGGTTTCTGTACTGTATCAGTCGTTCCCCGTTGGCCTCGAAGTTTCCTAAGACCTGGCCAACGACCAGAGCGGAGTCGGTCCTGGCTCGAACGTATTGCGCGCCAAGCCTTCTGACGTATTGGAGGCCGGCTATGAATGCCTCGTACTCTGCTTCGTTGTTGGTGGGAGAAAAGGAGAAAATCAAGGCGTGATATAACTTAAAGCCTTCCGGGCTGATGATCACTACTCCTCCGCCCGCTCCTCTCTTGCTGCTCGAGCCATCAGTTGCCAACTCCCACCATTGTTCATCCGGGCCCGGTTGAGGCGTCGTCTCGATTTCCCGGGCCGTGCATTCCACTACGAAATCGGCAAGAGCTTGTCCTTTGATTGCCGGTCGCGGTTTGTATTCCATGGCGAATTGGGTCAGCATGAGGGCCCACTTGACCAATCGGCCGGATGAGTTGGAGTTCCGGAGGACGGACCCGATGGGCTGGTCGGTGAGCACGTGAACTGTCCTGCCTTGGAAATACGGGGTAAGCTTCTTCGCGGCTATGTACAAGGCATACACTACCTTTTCCAACCGAGAGTATCGGGTCTCCGGTCCATTCAGGGCATGACTGACGTAATAGACCGGTCGCTGGACGTTCTGTTCGTCGGTCCTGCAGAGGACCGCGCTGACTGCTCGGTCCGATACTCCTAAGTAAACGTCCAGATCCTCTCCGGGCTCCGGCTTGGATAGTACGACCGGGGACATTAGGTACTCCTTTAGCTAGTCGAACGCTTCTTGGCATTCCCGGTCCCATTTGAATGCATTGATCTTTCTCAACGTCTTGAAGAACGGCAGCGCTCGCTCGGCCAGCTTGGATAAGAAGCGGCTGAGGGCGGCGAGCCTACCGGTCAGCTGCTGTACCTCCCGGACGGTGGTGGGCGGTTGCATCTCCAAGATCGCCTTGACCTTGGCCCGGTTTGGCTCGATGCTCGGCTTAGTCATCATGAAGCCTAAGAACTTTCCGGTCTGCACCGCGAACGTGCACTTCGCAGGGTTCAACCTCATCTGGTGATGGCGCAAGATTTCGAAGCAATCCCGGAGGTCCTGGGCGTGGTCGTCCCGCTTGAGGCTCTTGACGAGCATATCGTCGATGTATGCCTCCATTGTCTTGCCGAGTAGGTTCTCGAACAACATGTTTATCATTCTCTGGTATGTGGCCCCCGCGTTGCGCAGGCCAAAGGGCATCACCCGGTAGCAGTACAAGCCGTCCGGCGTGACGAAGGATGTCTTGGCCTCGTCCTCCTCCGCCATCATAATCTGATGATAGCCTTTGAAGGCGTCCATGAAACTCATTAGGTCGGACCCGGCGGTTTCGTCTACCATCTGATGGATACTTGGCAGGGGGTACGGATCGAGCGGGCATGCCCGGTTGAGGTCCGTGTAATCTATACACATGCGCCATGCGGGCGGTTTGGGCACCAAGACAACATTAGCTACCCAGTCCGGGTAAGCGACCTCCCTGATGTGTCCAATCGAGCTTAGCGTTCTGACCTCTTGTCGGACGAACTCCCTTCTGTCAACCGAGAGGTGTCGTTGCTTCTGCTTTACCGGCCGGGCGGCCGGGTTTACTGTGAGATGGTGGCAAATTGTCGACCGGGCTATCCCGGGCATATCCTGCGGTCCCCAGGCGAAAATATCGGCGTATTCCCTCAGGACCTCCACGATCGAGCTTCTCAAGTCGGGCGGCAGGGCCGCTCCGATCCGAACGGTCCTTTCGGGGAAATCATCGGACAGAGGGATGTCCTCCACTTCTTCTGCCGGCTCCGGCTGCTCCCTGATTGCGGCCTTGCTTCCATTTATTATGGCGTTTACTCGGGACGAGCCGCCTTCGTTTCTTTGGACCGCCTTGACATAGCACTTTCGAGCTGAACGGATATCGCCTCTTAGTATGCCGACCCCTGCTGGCGTTCGGAACTTCATGCACAAGTGCGGCATGGATATGATCGCCCCGATCTGAGCGATTCCTGGTCGTCCTAAGATTATGTTGTGGACGCACGCGAGGTTTACCACGATGAACTCCATTTCCGCCCTCGCCACCTTAGGGTAGGTGCCGACTTCTACGGGTAACCGGATTAAGCCCTCTGGTTCGATGGTGGGGCCCGTGAAACCGGATAGCTGGGTACGGACTAGGGTTAACTTCTTGTCGTCTAATTTCAGTTTCTTGAAGACGTCCAGGTACAGGACATTTACACTACTGCTCGTGTCGACCATCACCCTCTCAACGTCCACGCCGCTAACGTCGAGTGTGACAATTAGGGCTTCTGTCCCATGGTCGGGGTTCCGGGGGAGGTCTTCGTCGGTGAAGGCAATCGGTTCGGCCTTCGGGCGTTTTTCCGGTCGAGCTTCTTCTAGTAATCCGACCTGCAGGCTGTGGCACCACCTGTGCCGGTCTTCTGAGCTGTCGCCCCCTTCCGGCCCTCCAAAGATGACATGGATCACCTGCTTGGATCTCGTGGGCGGTGGTCGTCGTCGGGTTCCTGAGCCTTGTCCTTTTTGTCTCGACCGGTCCTTTTGAAAAACTTCTTCCATCGTTTGCCCTTGTCCTTCTTTTCTGTGAACTGGGACAACTCTCCTTCTTTCAACAGTTCTTCGATCACCTCCTTCAATACTCGGCATTCGTCCGTCGTATGTCCCCGGTTGCGGTGGTACGCGCAGAACTTGGAGGTGTCCCGGCCGTCTCGTCCGGGCTCGGGCAGCTGGATCAGGTTGCAGCCTTGGGCATAATCGAGGATCTCCGTCACGGGTCGGGTGAGCTTGGATAGGTCCCGGGGGGCCTGCTGTCTATCTCCACGTTTGGGCTCCAGGCGGTTGTCACGGCGGGCCGACCCCGATTCTTGGCGTCGCTTGGCGGAGTTGGCCTCCATTGCGTTGGCGTGGTCTGTGACACGGCGGATCGCTTCATCGTACGACTGCGGAGGGTGGACGATGAAGTCCTGGTACAGTGCTCCCGCTCGAAGAGAGTAGTGCAGGACGTTGATCGCCGTTCTGTCATCCATGGGCTCCACTTCTCCTATAGCGTTTTTCCATTTGAACAGGAAGTCGGCCAGTGACTCGCCTTCCTGCTGCTTGGCGGCCTCGAGGTGCGTGAAATGCTTCCGGACCGTTCGAGACATCGCGAAGCGACGGATGAACTTGGTGGAGAGTTCGGCGAAGCACGTGATGGATCCCGGTTCGAGGGACTTGAACCATTCAGCGGCTCGCCCGGAAAGTGTCGAGAAGAAGGCTCGACAAATAACGGCGTCCGACACGCGCATCATAATCATGTTTTCGTAAAAGGAATTGACATGCTCTTCCGGGTCCGTTTTCCCGGAGTAATCCTTTGATCCCTGGACCCGAAGATCTATCGGGTAGGGCTGCTGCATGATGTCACTAGAAAAGGGGGTCCTCAACAACTTGGTCTCTAGGACGGGAACGGGTGGCGTCTGCTCCTGCTTCCACCGGTTGAACTCTTGTCGGACTTGCTCCATAATATCACGCGGGACCCCGGTCGCCATGTTCGGCGGGTTGTCGCGTCTAAGATTGCTCCTGGAGGAACTTACTTCTTCCGAGTCTGCGCCGCGACTGGATGCTGATCGGTCTAGCGATGGCCGCCTGCCTGCTGGCCGAGCTCGCCGGGGGGAGTTTGTAGGCTGTAGTCTGTCGAACGCGCTGGTCCGGGGCATGCGTCCTTCCGAGTAATCGACCGAGCCCAGTCGGGTGTGAGCCGGACGACGCTGAGGTTGTGTTGCCTCGGGTTGAGGATTCCATGGCCCCTGGGGTGGCGGCATTCCGCCCCCGTCATGATCGCTCGCCCCCGGGCCGAAGACGGTAGGGGCGACCCGGTAGTTGTGCACCGGGCTGTACATCGGATGTGGGTACATCCCCGGCATCGGCGGCTGCGGGTACATCCCCGGCATCGGCTGCTGCGGGTACACCGGGGGGTAGAAACGTTGTGCGCTGACCCACCATTGATATGCCGGATCTTGGTATCCCGGGGCCGGATAAGTGGCTTGGATCGGTATATCCCTATAGGCAGCTTCCGCCGGTCCTACGCTGGCTGGTTCTGGCGGTTGGAATACTCCTTCCGGTGGCTGGTTGAGGTCCATCCGGGCGTTGATCTGCGCTCGTAGGTCCGGCTGGGCGTCGTCGGCGTTTTCGCCGGTGTTGAAGAAGTCCATGAAGGGATACATTTTAGCGAGGACCGGTAAAGACGTGCTGTTTTCGTACCTGGTCCCCACGGACGGCGCCAAACACCAAATGATATGGATAAATAACACGTATATAAAAGGTATATTAATATGAGAACGTATACAACGGGTCAGAGGAGGTTGGGCCGTGAAAGATGACCGGGAACCTCTCTAGCCTAGCTTATACAAAAATCCAAAAGTCCCTCTCACTAGCAATTAATGCAGTATTTATAAGGGTCATGGGGAACTGCGTTCGGTCTTCCGGCATGTCGGACGCGTGGTGCACATGCACCGGGCGGAGAGTCGGCAGACATGCAGCCGTACACGTGTCGCGAGGCTTCTGCTACTGATAGAGCTTCCCTCCTACCGGTCGTACGCCCCGGTCTCCGGTCTCCCGCTCCAGGACCCTCGGCACGTCGCCTTTGACAAGAGCACGACCGGGTTGACAGGGCGAGCCTTCTGGTCGCACCTCGACCGGGTTCCCGGGTCGGGTAGGCAGGTCGGTAGGGCGCTCCGTATGTCCGGTATATATTCCCCATCAGATATGAAGAGAGTTATTTTTTATTATTATGATGTTATTTTTGCCTCTTCTGACTCTGTGTGTGAGGATCTCATGTTTGATGAGTTTATTCCCCGTGTAACGAATGATCAAAATAATGCTTTATTGCGTCCCTATGAGTCTGATGAGGTTAAAAGTGCATTGTTTGCAATGTTCCCTGATAAGGCACAGGGGCCAGATGGTTTGAACCCGGGGTTCTATCAGCAGTTTTGGGATATAGTAGGAGGGGATGTATCTGAATTATCATAGATTGTTTGAATACTGGCATCTTCCCCGATGGATCGAATGATACTAATGTAATTTTAATTCCCAAAAAGAATGTGCCTGAGACTGTGGCTGATATGAGGCCAATTGCGTTAAGTAATGTGTTGTATAGAATTATGGCAAAGGTAATAGCTAACACGATGAAACCACTGATGGGGGACATTATCTCTGAATCTCAGAGTGTTTTTATTCCTGGTAGATTAATTACTGATAATATTCTTATCGCTGCGGAGGTGGGACATTACTTGAATAGGAAGCAGTGTGGCCAGACAGGGTGGGGGGCATTAAAGTTAGACATGGCTAAAGCGTATGATAGAATGGAATGGCGGTTCCTGCGGAGAATGTTGGAAGTTATGGGGTTTGACGAGAGATGGATTAATCTGATCATGCATTGTGTTACTACAGTGCAGTATAATATTATGGTTAACGGTGCTGATAGTGGCAGGTTGGTACTGTCCCGTGGTCTTAGACAGGGTTATCCGCTTTCCCCGTATTTATTCATTATTTGTGCAGAAGGTTTGTCTATGTTATTACAGAAGGCTCAGATAACTGGCTCTATACATGGGTGTAGGGTAGCGCGAGGTGCTCCTCGGTTTCGCATTTGGTTTTTGCAGATGCCTGTTGTTCTTTAAGGCAAACAGTCAGGAGGCAACGGTGGTTAAGGAGTGCCTACAACGATATGAGGAGTTGTCGGGGCAAAAAGGTTAACTATCATAAATCCAGTATCTGTTTTAGTAAGAACACCAGGGAGGAGGACAAGAATATAGTGGCTGTGTGTTTGCAGGTGGACCAGGCACCCAATTTTGGGAAATATTTGGGGCTGCCCTCTTTTATTGAGAGGAATAAGAGAGTGGTGTTATCCTATATTGAGGACAGAATAAAACAAAGAATTGGCTCGTGAAATAAGAAGTTGCTATCACAGGCAGGTAAGGATATCCTGTTAAAGAGCGTGGCGCAGTCAATGCCAACTTTTTCAATGGGTGTTTTCTTACTACCTGACACAGTCTGTCTGTCAATTCAAAGTGGAAGAGAGAGGGGAATTCACTAGAAAGCCTGGGATAAATTATGTATCCCTAAGAAATATGGTGGTCTGGGATTTAAGGATCTCAGGAATTTTAATTTGGCAATGTTAGGGAAGCAGGCATGGTGCATTCTTACAAAACCCACATCTCTGGTTGCATCTATTTATAAGGCCCGATATTATCCTGCTACCTCATTTATTGATGCTAAAATCGGCAGTAGTCCAAGTTATGCTTGAAGGAGTATTATGACTGCTCATGATATGGTTGTTGCAGGAGTACGTAGACGGATTGGGGATGGTCAGACAACTTTAATTTGGGGATACCCGTGGTTGTCGGATGATCCTAGTCCTCTCATTCAAACTGATATGCCTGAGGAATTGAGACATGTGAAGGTGGCAGGCTTAATTGATGAGCAGACTAATATGTGGGATCCCTATATTTTGTCTGATTTGTTTATTCCAGAGGATGTAAATCGTATACTCAGGATCCCTGTAAGTCCTGGTTATGATGACTCGTGGTATTGGCTTGGGGACCCAAATGGAATTTATTCAGCAAAGAATGCCTACAGGAGTATTATGGGTAATTATGACCATGTGCCAGGAGAGTTTGATAAGTGGACTAGTATATGGAAAAGGAAGGTGCCACCAAAGTGGAGGACTTTTCTGTGGAGAGCAATTTGTGATATCCTCCATACCACTGCTAATTTAATTATTAAAAGGGTGGATATTGATCATATATGCTAGAAGTGTGGTGTAATGAATGAGGATGTTATGCATGCACTTATTACTTGTGATTATTCTAAATTAGTTTGGAATATTACAGGCCTACCTATCACAAATATTGTTACCGATTCCTTTCCTGTCTGGCTAACAACCGCGCTTGCAATTTTGACAGAGGAACAAAGTGGTACTTTGGTGGCGGTTCTTTATTACTTGTGGCAGAGTCGCAACTCAGCTGTGTGGGAGAAATCATTGCCACGTCCTGCCGGCATGTGGAGGAGAGCATCCGCAGCAATGGGGTCTTACCGCCACGCCAATCACCACCCCGCGCGCTGTCGGCACCACACAGATCGGAGAATCCCCATCACGCCAGGCCAAGGTGTTTTGTCGACGCAAGCTTCCGACATGCTACAGGGGAGGCGTCCTATGGAGTGGTCCTACTCTCGCCAGATGGATCGTTCATAGCGGCGCGAAACGGAATTCTGCCAACCTACTTCTCACCTTTTATGGCGGAGGTCATGGCTTGTAAGGAGGCTCTATCATGGCTCATCGGAAGGAATACGGTTGATGTGGATCTACTCACAGATTGTTTGCAACTACGGAATTTTGTACGCCAGGGATCAACAACTATTATGTCATATGCTGGACTTGCAGTTGACCATTGTAGGTCGCTGATGACTTCATTTACTTATTGTTCGTTAAGTTATATTTCTAGGCAGTTTAATTTACATGCACATGCTTTAGCTTCATTAGCTTTTTCTCAGGATCAGGTTATGACATGGGATTTAATCCCACCTGACACTATTGCAGCTTTGCTTCATTAATACAATCATTTATTGGTTGGCTTTCAAAAAGAAGTGTATTTATATTAATAATAATTAATTTCTTTATTTATATTAATATAGTATATTATATTAGCATAGTTAGAATTATTATTATGTGTATTAATATTTTTAGTGTTATGTTTATATTTATAATTATTATAAGTGTGTTTTTTAGTTTCATTATTTTAAAATCTTAAATGTATACTCAAATGTATTAATGATTAATATTATTATTTTCATTGACCATTCAGTTGTGTGCAATGGTACTAGGTTGGTAATCTCATGTTATTGAAGTCGATATAATGACTGATGCTAACAAAGGATCAAAAGTGTTGATCCCCAAATATTCATGTCGTCGTCCAATCCAAGATTGTCGTTCAGGTTTCAACGAAGACAATTTCCGTTATACTATCATATGCAATGATCATAAACAAAAGTCAAATTCAAATATTGTCACATGTCAGATTGTTACTAAAGAAATTGGTGTTTGTACATGGCCAGTTGTATGTGGCTGCATCTCAGATTAACAATGCAGATGGTCCAAAAATATTGATTGTAAAAGACTCAAGTACAACTACTACATCAACCACTAACGTTGTCTATCATGAAATTTTTAATAATTTGTAATTTTGTAAATATTTTTTTTAATACCATAACATTAATTTCAACTATTTATTATGTACCATTTACATATTATTATTTTTGTTAAATTTCCAAATACAATTAATTTATATTTTCTTATTTTAGGTTATCTACAAATATTAGATTAAAACGTTATTATTGCATACAATTTATAATATAACATCCATAAATTTAAAACTTTACAATTTATATGTGAGGATAGTGTACCATCTGTAAGTACGACTAAAAATGTCGTATACAAAGAAATTTTCAATAATGTGTAATACAATTGCAATATTCTTTGTTTTTCATGAATTAATTCATATACTATTAGTCTTTTTTTTTATCACTACGGTTAATCTTACTACTATATCATATGTCCGTGCATCGTACGAGTGCAACTACTAGTTGCACAAAATAGCAATTTTAATTTATGAGTATATTTAATAATAAATTCAAAGAATAAATTGAATGACAATTTGAAAGCAATATAGTTCTCAATACTTTAAAAAAAAATCAAGTTACTAGCCCAAATCAATTTATACATATAAATCAGGATAAATCATTCCCAACTAAAACATGTATATGTATATCATAGAGGGTTTAAATAATCAGGAGCCCAAAAAATTAAATGGGCTCTAAAGTCTAAACACAGCTTCCCCCATTTAAAAAAAAAAAAAAAAAAAAAAAAAAAAAACGGACTGGGCTTTGGGATGATTAGCAGTTAGCAGCGAAGTCCGACGGCGTCGTTTTATTTTACGGTTGAAGTAGTTGTTGTTACAGGGCAGAGAAGAGCTAGGATTAGCCCATTCGATACGATCTCTCTCATAGATACATACAGTTCATTCGATACGATCTCTCTCAGAATCAATCGCTTCAGCTGGAAATCCATTCGATATGCACAATCCCTCAATGCCATCGCCGACGCCACCTGTGTCATCTTCGGGGGATACCAATCCCCAAAACCCCAATAACCCTAATTTGATGATTCCTTCGCCGTTTCCCCCACCCTCCGCCTCCGCCTCCGCCCCCGCCCCACCTGTGTCATCTTCGGGGGATACCAATCCCCAAAACCCCAATAACCCAAACTTGATGATTTCTTCGCCCTTTCCTCCTTATCCGGCGCCGACTGGTATCAAACCATTCTATCGTCATTTGATGCTGATGCGCTGTAGGGGCCAGCATTTGAGTGGTGGCGATGACAATAATGTAAGTGTATACGATATAGATGCGAGATTGGGCGGTGATGATGTGCAGAATATAGTCAAGTATATGGGCCTTTTCCGTTTTGATCCATACCCCGCCTATGTTTTAGGCCGTAGGGTTGCCTTCGCCAAGCCCCATATATGTTTTGGGGGTGGACCTCACTGGGGATCCCTAGAACTCTTTAACACACAAACTTTCTTAACCTCTAGAACTGTTGCTCTTGATCTTCATCAGGTATTCATATTCATATTCTCAAGTAGTTATGTTTTTTCACTTTGCATTTGTTATTATGAAAAGAAAATTATGAATTTCTACTTCAACCATACAACCTAAGTTTACTTCACACTTGCTCATAATGAAAAAGAAATTAAAGTAGCTGAATAGGTTATTAATTAGCTGTTTATCATTGAATGGTAGTCTTGCATGAAACATAATATAATGTTTCTAGTCTTTTAATTTTGGGTAAATAAAATCATGTAGCTTCTTTTCTATTTATATCTTCTTTCAGAGGGTTACAGACCTGGCTTTCTTTGCAGAGGATGTTCCCCTTTTGGCTAGGTACTCCATCCTGTTTAATGTTGCTAACACTATTATATTCTCCCATTCTTTATATATATATGTATTTTGCTTATTTGACAGTGCAAGTGTTAATGGGCGGGTTTGTATATGGAAATTCACTGAAGAAAAGGAAAAGGATATGGGCGACTATCCAAAAATAACAAGCCAGATAGTTATTGATATTCAAATTGTGGGAGAAGAACAATCTTTTAACCCACGAGTCTGTTGGCATTGCCAAAAACAGGTTTGTTCTGAGAATATGATCTTTATAACTTTTTAGCATTAATTATTCTATCATTTCTCATTTTCTAAGCTGTCTTAAGCGTTATCATGCTCCTCCTTAACACAGGAAATTCTTGTTGTTGGGATTGGAGAAAGAGTTCTGAAAATTGATACCACAAAAGTTGGAAAAGGTGAAGTATTTTCAGAGAAAAAACCGCTGAGGTGTCCAGTTGACCGCTTGGTTGAAGGTGTCCAGCTTGTTGGTACTCACGATGGAGAAGTCACTGATTTATCGATGTCTCAGTGGATGTCCACCACTCTTCTTGTATCTGCTTCAGTAGATGGCATGGTTGGTTAATTTCTACATTTCATACCTGTGACTTTGCAATGCTAGTTTGTTGAAATACTTTTCTAGCACTTGCTTCTTTTTCTTGAGTTTCTTCACTTAATATCTCTTTTTTCTTTTTCACTTGGTGTTCATTTTGTTTCTTAATGGGTGTAGAGATTATAGTTGCCATTGGCTTGTTAGTTATAGTCTATGATTTTGTCTTTTAAACAGATAAAGGTTTGGAAGGATAGCGAATCAATCCCAATTGCTGTACTGAGTCCCCATGGTGGCCAGCCAGTGTATTCTGTTACATTTTTGGCTCCTCCAAACAACCCTGGCGAGATCATACTAATTACTGGGGTATGTGTGGAATTTTCCTTAAAACTGTTACTATTCATATCTACTTTGAAGTATTAAACAATTCTTTTTTTTTTTTTTTTTTTGCAACAAATGGTCAAATGTAAAATATTTCCTTAAACAGTAAACTGATTGATGTTTTTTTGATTCTTTCAATGGATAAGCGATCACTTAAACTTGCTCTTTTGCTCTGTTCTGCAAATAACTAATTGAAGATGTTCACAGGGCCCACTTAATCGAGAATTGAAGATATGGACATGTGAAGAAGGGCAGTCTGCTAAATCATGGCACTGTAATCAAACATTAGAGCTGAAGAGTTCAGCTGAACCTCTTGAAGAAGCTTTTTTTAATCAGGTTCTGGTTATTTCTCAAGGTGGTTTAATCTTTTTGGCAAATGCCAAAAAGAATTCCATATACGCAGTGCACCTAGAATATGGTCCTAACCCAGCCTCTACAAGGATGGATTACATAGCCGAATTTACTGTTTCTATGCCAACACTTGGTTTCACTTGGACGATTGAACTACTGCCAGATGGTGAACAGGTAGTTCTGTTATATTGTGTTCATACACATGCCATTCGGAAGTATGCTCTGTACTTATCACAGTGTTTACCTCCATTGGAAAATCCTGTGGCTGAGAGGCCAGAATCTAGTACTGAACGAGACCTTGATGCTTTATATGATCGTTATCTTCAAGAAGAAAGTGAAAGGCAGGAAAAGCAGGAAAAGCTCTTACAACAGATGACTAATATGTTGTCCGACCTGCCAAGGCTGGTACAAGATACAGTGAAGAATGAATTAAGTGGCATTGATCAAACTGTTGTGCAGGCTTTAACACCCATTATAGAGAAAGCAGTATCCGAAGCCTTTCAGGTGGATATGGTGAAAATTTTTCCATCTTTGAATATATATATATATATATATATATATATATATATATATATATATATATATATATATATATATATATATATATATATATTATATGTGAGGTTTTAATTGATTCTCTGTGATGTAGAAGGGTGTTGGTGATAAGAGTGAGTCAATTGGAGAAAACAATCAAGTCTAAACTTCAAACTTCTGGCAAGCAAGCTCTTCAGGTAAGCTTAAATTTATCATGCCAGTTTGATTCAGTGTTCCTTAAGCCACATTTGCATTGGTGGTTTTCATGCGAGCTATAAAATATAGAAATTAGCATTTAAAATGGATGAAAATGTTGGCATTGTACTTTTTCTCATAGATTTTTGGGGGTGCTTTATAAATGCTCAGTTTGATTTGGAAATATTTATCCACTAAGATAATTAATATGTTTTTAATGAGCCTGTACCTATCAAAAGATTAAAAAGAATAATTAATTGCACTTAGGTTAATAGTTACTAAAGTTATTTTATTTTCATTAAGTACATTTAATTTAATTGTATTAAACTTGTTACGCAGGAAATATTGAAATCCACTCTTGAAGTTTCAATAATCCTTGCCTTTGACATGTCATCCGCTGATTAAGCACGTTATAAACTCTATGCTGATGACCTGTAAGCCCAAGAATGTTCAAAATCTGGCGAATACAGTTTATCTGTCCCCTTTGTCCATTCCTTTTTTATATTTTGATGTGAAATGTGCAACAGCTTGTGTGGATATTCCAGTTTGAGGTTTAATTCACTTTGGATATTCCTTTTTGAATTGCGACATTCTATTCTGTTTCAATTTCTACTCAATGAAGTGTTTGGTTATGCTCTGTAACATAAGGGATATAATTTACATTGTAGACATTTATATGAATTTGAAGCAATCATTCATTCTTTATCTCAGTAGAAAGTACTATAGCAGTTGAAAGTTGATTTATGGATACCTTATAGAAAGTACTAAAGCACTAACATATAATTAAAGAAGACCCTCTCGAAGAGATCATCCATATGTTGAATCATGACGCCAATGGCGTAGTTGTAAAAAGATTCTACTAAACTCGGGCCTATGGCCTTTCCCTCTGTCCAAAAAAGAAAAAAAAAAGTAAAATTGATACTTTCCCAATTAACTTTACAAACAATTAAAAACATTGTATTATGCCTGCATCACAGTTAAGATAAGAGTTGAAACTTTGACCATTATATATTCATAAAATACAAAAACTGATTGAAAACAAACTTACTTTGGGCATCAAGGCTGAAACCTGGATCCAATTTGTTTCATACTCTCATATGTAGTAAGTCGTGTCGCCGGGGAAGACCATCTTAGAAGCTTCTGGTTTGTACGTTTGTATAGTATGCAGTGAAAATCATTTTAGGCCGAAATGGTTGACAATCAGCAATTGTACTGGGGACCGCGGTGCAGAATGCATTGTGCACCGTGGTATGCCTTTACAGTTAACGGAGCGGCATGTTTGGTGTAATAATTACCAATTGAAATTACGGTGTATCTAAACTGACACTGCCTCACGTATTATTTTTATATTATCAAGTGAAACTGCAATTGAAATGAAATGAAACTGTAGTTGTGTTGAAATGACAGTGTAGTGTATACAAAATGAAACTGAATAACAATTTCACATATTTGAGTGTATATTGCCCAACGAAATTGTAGTTATATCAAAATGATACTGTAGTTGTGTTGAAATGAAACTACAGTGTATATAAAATGAAACTGAATAACATTTCACATATTTGAGTGTATATTGTGCAATGAACCTGTAGTTATATCGAAATGATCATGTAGTTGTGTTGTAATGAAACTATGGTGTATATAAAATTAAATAACATTTTCACATATTTGAGTGTTATAATATCAAATGAAAGTGTAGTTATATTGAAATGAAACTGCAGTGTATACAAAATGAAACTGAATAACAGGGTTACTTTTTGCGGAACGGTGCGAAACGATTAAACAAAATGACGTCGTTTAAAAGCTCGGTGCATAATCCATTATATGCACCGCGGTGCACGATATAATTTGCCGTTGACAATATTGCCATCTACCTATAGCCAAATTAAGGAAGAAATATGTTTATTACTGTTTTATGGGGCGTTTAACATTCCGTCATACTTTACAATAGAATAAGTCTTGTCTGTGATCATTTTACTTAAGATGTATAGGTAATACTTTTTATTTAAAATGTAATTACATTTTAACTAAAACAATAAAACTAGTTAAGTATGCTCACATATAAAGCACAGCGATACAAAAATAATAAAATTAAATTGGTCAATTCAAACATGGCAACAAGTTCACTGAGAAATCAATTAAGTTAATTAATATATATAAGATTCCAATTCATTGAGACATTATATTATTGTTATTGATGTTTTGTATCCCAATTCATATTGTTCAAGCTTGCAAATAAGATTCTACTGGTGATTGAATAATTTTGAGGCTCATTTGCACCCAAAAAAAAAAAAAAGATTTTTTTTATTGAAAAGGAAAAAATAAAAATAAAAAGAGGATCATACTTTTTCACACCTGCGTAGAAGGGTTCAGAAAGAAATTGAAAATTTCTATCAGAACATTTCATATATAATACTTTTTCATATATGTACCAAATATATTGTAAGAGGTAAATAGAGTTTATATATTAGTTTTTTTTATTATTATTATTAATTAAGACAAAATTATAATTTTCTTTTCTCACCCTCACTGAAAGGCTAAATGTACATAAAAGTTAACGTCTAATTTCTAATTCTTAATTTTTTTCAGTTCCTTCTATGAGTTCTATCTAATAAAAAAAAAATTAGAAGCCTAGGGAAGAAAATGAGATCGGGAGAAGAAAATGAGGTTAGATACTTCAATTCAGCTTCTCATTGGAAAAGGAAATCAAAAATTTTTAGGCGTGTGAAATACACTATTCTAAAAAATTTTGATTTCCTTTACTAATCAACAAGGATAATCAAACCAAAACTTTTGAGATACAAGATATCAATTTCTCAGGTCGCTTATACTAGAAATTCACCTGATACTACAAATACGTTGATGTATTGTAATCGGTCACTAAGTATAATCTCAGGTAGCTAAACTTGTGATTAAACGTTCTCGAGCTAAGGTCTGTTCTCTCTCTGGAAGTCCAAAAATCCTCCTCCCAAGCATTAAATGCGCCTTTTATAGACATCTGGAGGGGACACTACATGTCGGGAGCTCGACATGCTAACCACGTGTCTCACATGCACCGGCGTTAGCGGAGGCGACTCCAATAGGTCCACATGCAATGAGATTCCTGATATATGCTTTATCATGAAGTGACTGGTCAAGACGATCGGCTTACATTAATCTGTCAATAACGAGGGTTTGGTGCACGGGTAACGATTCCCGATCACATATGATCGAGAATCTTGTCTCGGTGGAACGAGCCCTTTACCAACCTGCCAAGGCATCTTATGACTAGTTTCGGGGGGTTGGGTAAAACAAAACGTGGTCGGATCTACTTTGAAAATGGACCTCTGATCTCGGTCTCTTGCCCGAATATCGAGCACTTGCAAAGGTATAGGATGAGAGTATAATCCCTATCATCACAAAGCAGTAATAGAATTTTCATATGTTGTCGGGATATATAATTCTTGACTAATCTACTGCAGAGTTTACAAAAGAATTTTTATATACTAAAAGTATCAAGTTACTCTCTTGGTGAATTTCTTATAAAAACAATATGAGAAATTTGACATGTTCTTGTATCTCAAAAGTATATGATTTGATTACCCTTGTTGTTTAATAATGAAAATCACATAGTTTTAAGATAGTGTGTTTCACATGCATGGTGATCAAGTGACCCAATGTTATATATATATATATATATATATATATATATATATATATATATATATATATATATATATAATAAGAATCATATAAGAACCATTTTTTAGATAGGAACCTAAGAACTAATCTAAACCCTTTATTTTATTCAATCTACGGTGCATGTTTAATATGTTTTAATTAGTTTCGTAACTGTTGTTGGGTTTTATTTTTAGTCGACCAAGGGTATTTTAGTAACTCAAACCAGTGCATGTGCTTGGAATGTGAGAATTAATCGTTGATTCTTCGCATTCTGGTTGGAGTTGTTTGCGTAGGGTTGACTTTGTCGTAGACTCCCTTCCTCACCCTCGTTGGCATTCGATTCTCCCCTGTCTACGTTGGTGGTCTATTCCTCGTCTCTGCTTGAGATTCCCGTCTGGGATGAACGGCAGTGATGATCGGAACCCTAAGTGCCCCCAGCCAGCGACGAGGCCATTCGTTGCTCGAGGTGGGTTTCCTTTTTTTTTTTTTTTTCAATGAGTTTTGCATGTTTTGTGTTTCTTGCTGAGTGGGAGTTCCTAGGATTTTGTTTGAACTCTGATGTTGTGACTGATGGATGTATTCTGCATGAGGTTTTGAACTTGAGATGGGAATTTAGTTGTGTCCATGGTATTTAGCATTGGGTTTGAAAATATACTGAAAGAGGTAGTTGGTGTTTGGTTTTGTAATGGAATTAAGAACATTTAATTTGATTGATGTTAATGAATTACATATGAACTATGATGAATTTTGGTTTCTGGTATTAGAAAATATATATTTGGCTAATTTGATCATGTGTTTGAGTGTTTGACTGTTGTTGGCATCCGATTTTTAATTAAAGATTAAAGTTGGTATATTATTGAATGTGATGCCTGTTTTTTTTGTCTTTAAATTATTAAACGGTTAGCTGCTAATGTCTTGTTTCAATGGAGAAATATGGGATGAGGCCTCTGTTGTTTTATCTCCAACCCAGATTTTTTTTCTTATTGAGGGTGGTGCTTTTTTTGCTGCTGCTTTATATCGCTCAGAATTACTCTGTGCACATGGTGAGCTCAAATGGCACACACTGAAATACGCAGGTGCACATGGTTTGGCACACGTGTGCACACACTACATTATGTTAAGGCACACACTGCATTATGTTAGGGCTGCTGGTTCAGATTTTGGTTCTGGGTTGTGTTGTGTGTTAATTTACTTATAATTTGTGTTGTAGCCTTTGATTTACCAAGTTATCGAGAAGGCGAGGGCTGTAGCAATCATTGTTATAGAGTTGGTGGAGGTGCTTCACGAGGCTGCTAGAGCTTGTTCAAGTGAATAGACGGATAGCCTCATCAAAGTCCTGAGCGTAGCTCGGTTGCTGTTGGGGATGGGCCCACTGGCTCCTGGTCATATTAGGGCCACTTAGTAGCCTGCTGAGTCGACTTTCACGTAGACCCAGGATGCATTCTAGGCTAATACTGCAAATTTGTGTGCAGTCAAGGACAAAGCTAGTGACGTGTGATCATTCGTAGCTAGTTGACTTCACTTGGGTACATTCATGTATTCTGATTATGAGATATGATAGCTAATTTTTGGTTGATTTTTACTTTTGTATTGGCACATTTTTTCTTAATGAATGACGCTTTGATGTAATGTTGCACATAGCATTAACACGATTCCAGTGCACAACCCAGGCTGTCATATCATCATGTGTTCTGATGTTCCAGTATAATAGTATTTTGACACATTGCGGCACACAATGCGATATGGCACATACAATTCAATATAAGTGCACATCATCTTCTTTTCCCCTTTTCATCCGTGAACACATTCTATATGGTTTGGCACAAACAGGATGAGTCGTGTCTACACCATATTCTTTACAATCAAATAAGTTTCCGTGAATTCATTTTTGCAGTGTTATTGGACGAAATGGCACACACTGCGTAATCCAAGTGCTTACCAAAACGGCTACAATTGCACAATTTGGCACACACATTGCAA